TGTAAAAACAACGTTTTATTAACGTTGGCAAAGTAACACTTTTTCAACGTTTTTTAATTACCACATTTTCAACCAACGTTGAAATAACGTTGAATAAGTGTTGTTTTTCAAATAGTTTAAATTCGTTGAAAAAGCAGCTAATGTCTAACGTTGATAAACCATTACCTTTGCGACGTTTTTACAGTGATTATTTGCTCACTTATTTTCAACGTTTAAGAAACGCATTTTTTCGAGAAGATAAGATACGTTTACATTTATACGCTTATTCAACGTTGAAAATGTAACGTTTAAAAAGCGGTTTGTTTTTAACGTTGATAAAGAATATACTTCGAAACGTTTTTAAAGTGGCTTTTTGCGTAAGTTGATTCCACGTTGAATAAACGTTTTACCTTGAGAGGCTAAATTACTCTACAATGCTTATTCAACGTTTCAATTTACCGCGATTTAGTATACAAAAACAGACATTGATTCAACGTTGAAAGCGCATTGTTTTTGTGACTGTAACGCTTTTTCTACGCTGCGACTGGTTTTCAACGTTGATTCAACGCTTACATGTTTGCTGGGGTTAAACTTTTTTTAAATAGTTAGAAGCAGCAAGAATTGGCCGAACGAGACATCTGTATTTGTATTTTTTAATTAATGGAAAAAGTATTATTTAAAGGCAATCTTTGATGTAGAGATCGGCAGTCAAGATCTTCAAGAGGATTGCATACCACAGTTATAAAATGCTTGCCACACAAAAAACTTGTATGTAAATTTTTCGCATAAAATATATTTAAATTGATCATTGACTAGTTTGTTTTTATTTTCATAGTAAAATTGTTTACCAGAATGTTTTGAAATATCCCCTTTGCAAAACGTTTTTACGTCTTCAATTATGCACATACTTTTATCAGCCATTGTTTTAACTAACTTTTTTGCGCATCTAATTCCTTTAACTTTGGCATTTAAGCTACTCTTAGGTGTATTTTTCTTACGAAATCCTTTAATTCCAGCATTTTTAAGTACTGTTTTGATATAAGAATGCGCATTCTTGATTTTTCTTGTTAGATCTTGCTGTGACTGGTTCGGATTTCTTGCTATTGAACTGAGAATTGACTTTACCTTTTTAGATTTAAAGAAAGTTTTCTCTTTTTCACTTCCAAGTTTTTTTTCGAAGCTTTAAGTAGTCTTGAACTTATTTATAATATCTGTGACTGTAAATTTTAGGAGATTATAACGTTTAGCAACTAAGCGATAGGAAGTAGATAGATTTTTGCAAAAAAAATTCACAATTTTTTTACGTACCTTATTTTGTTTCCGAAACTTTTTGCTAATCACTGATTTGTAAACAAATGTTTAATAACGCAATTAAATATGAGGAAATAACGTTTAATTTAAAAAATAAAAGAAATAAAAACATTTGTGGTTTTAAAAAAATCTAAATTTAAAGTTGACCGATTATTCCATGTCCACCCAATAATTTGGAGGACTAGTTAAATTTTGTTAAAAACTTTAAAACAAAATATCTACGCTAGGTTTTAGGGTACATAAAACCAAATAACTTTGACCGATAAAAATAAAACGAGATTTTAATTTTAGTTTACGAAAGTGTTTGATCTGTGCTTCAATACAAAAGTTACAAAAAAATATTTTGGTTCCAAAAAGGTCTAGGACGTTCAGGACTTAAGCTAAGCGTATATTTATACATTTTTGTACGTCTAATATTTGGTAGGTTATAACCAGATTAGGTTTGGTATTTTTTTTTTTTTTTACCAATATTAAGTGTTTTTATCGACTCATTTACCAAAAACAAAATTATACATCTCTATTTAATTTAAATCACTGTTTAAATTGTTTTAGAATAGTTAATTGGTTTTAGAAAACTTAAGTTTGAAATTTTATTGTTTGGCATACAGTTTTCAATAATATTTTTTTGGATTAGTTATACTTTTGATATATAAATAGTTGCAAAAAATCAAGAAACTAATCTTTTAAAACTCAACTAAAAACAGCAACCCTCTACAATAAGTTACTTACCTGATCCAAGCTTTGTCTCATCGAATAAAAAAGTGACATTCCGCTGTTTTATTTTTCTTTTAATTCCATGTTTGTTCAGTTTACAAATAAGCCTTTTGTGGCATGCTAAGTGAAAAGCTTTAACAACTTCTAAATATACTACATCAGTTGTCTAATTTGCTGACAAAAAAAGTAATATAAATGTCTAAAGTTTTGATTATTTTGTTTTAGTATATATATATATATATATATATATATATATATATATATATATATATATATATATATATATATATATATAAATAACTGCATCTTACGAAGTTATATATATATATATATATATATATATATATATATATATATATATATATATATATATATATATATATATATATATATATATATACATATTATTATTGTTAAAGCTTTTCACTTAGCATGCCACAAAAGGCTAATTTGTAATTTTAAAAAACACGGAATAAAAAGAAAGATAAAACAGCGGATTGTCATTTTTTTATTCGATGATATATATATATATATATATATATATTTATATATATATATATATATATATATATATATATATATATATATATATATATATATATATATATATATATATATATATATATATATATATATATATATATATATATATATATATATATATATATATATATATATATATATATATATACATAACTGCCTTACTTTAGTTTCTTATACTTCTGCTTTTGATAGTATACTTAAAAGTAATAACATTAAAAAGATTTTCTTTCCAGTTTAAAGTGAATAGTGATATTTTTATATTAAAACATTTTTTCTTTTATTGTATATAGTTCTATCAACACCACCTTCCACCTTTAAGTTTAAATTTTATATTATTTTAAAACTATTATTAGATTAAATGCAATTGCGAATATAAGATATGTTTTTGGTTGTTTTATTTAATTTTATTTTAAATTTTTAGACTCATCAACACCTGCTAGCTCCTGTAAGTTTATACATTTATCACTTTTTAAATTTTTGATAAAGTAATGCACTCAATTTTTTTACTTTTTTTTATTCTTGTACACAAGAATTGTAAATGTCTTTGATAATCAGTTGTTAAATAGTTATTAAAGTGTAAAAGACAGCTCCGAAAGCACTTCACCAATACTATACCAGGTGAGTTGTCTGGACCACACACTGTAAAAGAGTGAAATCAGAAAAATACTTTGGATAGAAAAAATACTTTGGATATAGAAGTTACTTTGGGTACAACTGGACTAATACGATGGTAAGGCAATGGAGCAACCAGTTTGTTAGCTATATTAGATAAAACACAACTAATATTATTATGATATGATATTGATGAGAAGTTCTTCGCAAACAAATAAGCATTTTCTTTAGGTGACGCGACAAATTATAAATCATATCAAATAATGGAACAATGGAATAAATAGTGGAATAACAAGTTTACCTTTATTATTGATATTGTTAAAAATTCTACAAAAGTCACATGAACTTAGTTTTTCAGATGAAATACTTTGTTTTGTGACCTGAGACGAGATTTAGCTTTAGACATAATCTTTTTACAATGGTTTTTAGCATTAGTAAACACACATCTGTTACAGGAGAAGAATTTTGCTGATAGAAATGAAAGTACTAGGTTCGAATTGAAATCGCAGCAGCATAAATTCAGGGAAAATAATGGAGAAAAGTAAGGCTTGATTTGGAATTGTCAGGAGAGAATAACGAATGTCATTACAACCTGAATCCAAGTAGACAAGTTAGACGCATATTTATCAGCAGGACAACGATATATTCCAACACAAGGGCCATGACGACAAAAATTACGGAAAGAGTCCTAGTCGGCAATAAGGTAATTAAAAGAGGTACGATGGTAGGATGATTCTGATGATGAAAAAGAATGAGATAATAGTTTTAGTAAGATCAATCCGTGTTCAGAAGCACATTAGGATGATTTAGACTATTTTAGTTAGAGATTAGGAAAAGCAAAAGTTAACGTATGCATAGTCATTGACACTTAAACCAAGCCATTCAGTGTAATGGGCATTAAAGTCACTAACAATAATAACATTGGGCTGACAGAAAAGAGAGAGAGCTTGGTCAATTTGATCAGAAATAACATTTTTGAGATAAAGGAGAGCAATATAGTACAAAGAGAAAAGCAAAAGAATTAAATAGTGCGGAAATGCAAATGCTAAGGCTGAGCATGTAATTACTATAGTCTTACCGAAATAAAGTTAGATAACTTTCAACACTAAGATCACACGATGAGACAGCCAAACTCATCATATCTAATTGTTCTCACAATGAACAGTTAGATATGATGAACATTGCTAGAGATTACACTCAACAGAAAGTTTCTTTGAAGTCAGCGAATATTAGTGAAGGAAATACTTAGAGAACTAGGTGGTAACGTTGGCATATGTGTTTCAAAGTTTTTTGTACTTCAGTTATTTTTGAATTTCCTAATGAACTCGACTCAAGACACATATTGTACTCAGTAATTCATTTAATAGCCCAAGCAGTTGCCTCATTTATAATAAAAGGTCCTCAGCTGTAATAACGGGCTCCAAACATGGGGTTAATATTTTATAACAAAAGTACAAACAGGAAAATTATTGATGCGCATCATGGCACTGTTAATTCTTGAATATTTTACAGGTGCTGATTCAATCAGCTATGGCAGAGTTTGGTAAACCTGACTACCAACCATCCTTAGAACTATAAAACTGAGTTTAAGAGCTGCCACCTTCTTTAAAAGATAATAGCATAAGTTGCTAATCATAAAAACAGAGACGCAAGAAAAACCAATGCATTGAGACAAAAATATTCAGCATTTTACATCCTCTATTGGGAACAATGTATTATAAACTCATCTACGCCTGCCTAATAGATTAAGAAGGAGCGCAAGGCTGGTAAACAGATAGAATCTTTTTAACCCGTAAGTCTTTGTCAAGGAGGCCTTCTAGACAGTAGATGAATATTTTTATCAAGACATTTTCACTAGACTTAATTCATCCAAGATACCTGAAGCAAAGCTGTTTTAAGTTGGAATTGGGTTCTTTTAGTCTTTGCCTAAAAGCATATCGCGAAAGGCAGCAGGAAACAGGTTGTACTGGGTTACATGTTACCAGTAGCAGGATAACTTGACCTGACAATAGTTATTTTATAATAATATTAAAAGATAATAAATAATAAACTGTTTCATATAATAAAAATTAATTTTGAATCATATGCGAGCATCATTTTAGTTTTTATCTACCAAAAATGACTCAATAGAGGCTCTCCTTACACGCTTTTCAATACTATTTATTTCTAAATAGTGTTTATCCCTCAAAAAACATTATTACAACAGTTTTTTAGTTTATATTAAAACTATTAAACATTTTACCAAATAATTAACCAAATTAATTTTAAAGCATTTTAATATTTTTATTTTTATTATAAATCAGAAGGATTTTTTGAACTTATTTACAAATGAAATGTCTTCTATTTATTTTATTTTATTATTTTTTAATAAAAAAACAACTAAACAAAAAAATGGCGTAAAACCTTACAAATAAAATTTAATGAAATATTATTCTCAGGGGCAACACGGTCGTTTAGATATTAGTAAAAAGCGCTATGTTTGGGTACGCATGCGTAAGAAAATACAAAAAACTTTTGAACTTTTAAAATGGTTACGGTTCTTAACTACAGAGAATATTTTATATGGCAACAGTTTATTTGTTAATTAATTTCTGAAAAGCCAATGATATAGCCTTATTTTTAACGTAAATCAATAAAATAATAAAAAATTTTCAAAAATGTAAATAAATAGAGGTAACAAAAATCTTTGCGCGTTAAACTGTATTTTTACTTAATACTTTTTTAGTGTAAATCATAGATTTGTTTATTTATTTGTAATCAATTTTCTAAAAATCTGACTGTAGGATTTCAATAATATTTTGTTTAAACTTCAGATAAATATGTTTTATATGTATGATATTTTTCTGGTCATTGCTTCAACTTTTTTTCCATGTAAAAATTTGTTTTTACTGTTATGACTATTTCCTTACATATCTGACTTATATATTAATGACTATTTCCTTATATACTGTTATGACTATTTCCTTATATAAGTGCAATTTCATTAACTATTTTGTTATTTACTATTTTTCTGACTATTTATATATATATATATATATATATATATATATATATATATATATATATATATATATATATATATATATATATATATATATGTATATATATATATATATATATATATATATATATATGTTACATTATAATTTACAACAATAATGTTTTTATGTATATACGTGTATATATATAAATATATATATATATAATATATATATATATATATATATATATATATATATATATATATATATATATATATATATATATATATATATATAGTAACAAAAATAATAAAGTAAAAAACACTTTAGTATATTAATAAAAAGTCATAATAGTAAAAGTAAGTTTTTATATTGAAATAAAGTTGAAGAATAGCAAGAAAAATATTATTCAATATAAAACATATTTATCTAAAGTTAAAAAAAAATTTATCATTTAGTAGGATTTTCCAAAACAAAACTTTTTAGAACAGTATATGCCTAATGTGTTTTATATAATGAAAAACAAGTGGTTTTTAAAAATTTTTTAAAAAAAAGTATTTTGATGACTTCCTCAAGACCATTATTTTTTTATAATTATTAGGAATATAACAAGTTCCTAATAATTATATAAAAAAAATTAAATCAGTGTATTATGAATAAATTATATCATAATGGTCATATCATAAGTATTATGTATAAATTTTATCATAATAGGTCTCAAGTGAAGCAAAATTATATGAAAATTTCAAAAAAAATATTGCCAAAAGATGGTAATAACAGACATTTTTCTATTTTAGTTAATAAAATTCATTTTTTATGGTGTCAAATCTAACATATTTTTAGCAATATTTTATTCATATTTGAACTTTTCATGATTTCACTTAATTTGAGCCGATATGTCAAGATGCACTTTTGAAGATTTTTTGAATAGATAATAATAGGAACTCTCTATATGTTTTAGGGACTCCAAAAATGACTTTTCTTCAAAAAAACTTTAAAACTAGTGTTTTTTTATCATATAAAATATATTAGGGGGTGGCAGCTATATATATATTTTTTAAATATAGCTGCCAAAAATTTAAAAAAATATCTTGATAATAAATAAGCTGATTGTAATACAGTGCAATAACGGTTCCAATCATATGTTGAATTAAATATTTAAAAAGCCACATATTTTTTTGTGATATATATATATATATATATATATATATATATATATATATATATATATATATATATATATATATATATATATATATATATATATATATATATATATATATATATTATATGTATGTTACAAATTAAAAAATGAAATGTCTTTGCTTTTCTTTTTATTTCTTCTACACTATGTATGTTGTTGCAGAAACATAACAATTCCCAAACATTTTTGCATAAAATTTCACATGCTCATATGTCCAAAATGTTTTGTTTGATTTCTGGCTTTTAATGTTATATTCCAATCATAGCATTTGTGATCTCCCAGAAGCATCATTTTCATTAATTGTCGTTCACAAACAAGAGTTGGTAATTTTTAAAATAGTTTCAATACAAGATTTGCATAATTCTTTAACATAAGTTGTGCAAAGAATGAAACTTTTGCTCTGTATACTTAAGTAAAAACTCTATAATAATTATGTCACAAAAGCATTATACAAACAATAATCAAACTGCAAATATAATGTAGAATTACTTTTAGAACTGTTTCCTTTATTAGTTTATGTGTTGAAGATGTTCCAGACTTAACGCCATTCCTTCGAAAAGTTAGTTATTTTTTGAACTTTGCAGTTTTTGTTTAACTGTAAATAAGTAAGTCAGATAAATCAAATCAATATTAACATAACTAAAAACT